TATTAATGAACCCAATAAACCGTTTAAGAACACCCGTTAATCTCTTGCACTGCGACGCATTAACTAAAGGGTCGTAACGTTTTACAGTTTTGGCTTTGAAGCGTATCTGCGGGAAACATTCGTGGTGTTTGTGTGAATAATGATACATTTATTGTGAGTAAATGTAGATTGCCTCTTTGGTCTACTCCGGTCGTGTCAGATTATCGTGCCATCGTAATATAAGAGTGAGAGAGCTTGCGCATAATATATTTGAGCACGATAATTCTGTCCTGCGCAGATGGCTAATCTACGTTGACTGGCCGCCGTGCACCGCCGTGGCAAATTCGGTTTGGAGGACATTATTATTTACACCTCTAGCTGATCTATTCATCACACTAAGGTTTTACATAGTTATTGCTATAAAGTGCCGCCCCATTGTTTGTCGCTGGATGCAATACGCATCTATCGATTCTACGTATTTGTCACCTTCGCTACACCTTTGCACACGAAGTGTTTATGAATTGTAAAATTTTAACGGCCTGTACCAAGAACGAATAGCACGGTATACGCCGATTTCGCACATACGGAGGATATGAAAATCAAACTGTGTTATTTGTATACGCCGGCAAGTTTGTACGTCTAAACGGCGGGACACGCGTGTTTTTACTTATCAATGATTTTCCTGTTTTTGTGGTCAATTATCATTTTACCTATTTAAGTAGCAAGTGTATGTTATTTACTGTATAATTATTTTAAAACTGCCGGATAACTAGTGCAGCCTATATACATTCTACTGGTAGCATAGGTCTGCTCTCATTTCTGATAGGGTTTTAGGGCAAGGAATTGTCTGCCGCTCTGCCCCAATGCTTGTGACGGAGTTCACATGTCTCTGAAAAAAAATTTTTCATGTAATCCTTCACCGCTGAGAATGGTAAAATCATTTTAACATTATAATTAACAATTTTATTGGAGCGGGCCGGGTATTGAACCTAGGCTAATCACCTACTGTGAAATTTATGACAAACTCTTAGCACCCGAGTTAACACTGCTCGGTTGGAAAACCTATTATTCTATTCTATAATCCAATATATCCAAATAAATCAATATCCATCATCATCCCATATACAGTCCATTGCTGGATAATATACCACTCCTATGTTGAGTACTTGCCAGAATTGACGATCTCGACGCCTTGCGACGTTGCACAATGTCTCTGGTCTGGCAATTTTCAAGATGCTATTCCATTAGCTCGACTTTAACGATCCATTTGGAGTGATAGCTTCTCTTACGTCAGTTTATTTACATTAGTATCTACATATTTTTCATAGTTTTTTATTTTTATATAGAATAAGAGTGACAAACGAGCACACTGTTCACGTGATGGTAAGTGGATGCTGTGGTGTGTGGGTAAATAAAACAGGAGATAGGCAGCAGCGTCTTATCAATAAAAACTCAATTAACTAGGGCAAATTCGCCCACTATGAGGGCCATCTACAAGTGGGGCCTGATTTCAGCTGTGGACTTTAGATTGTTATAAATGAAATTACATGTTATACATGATATTTTTATCGTTAACGAAAGTAACTTATTAAATAAGAATTTATCTTTATAATTTATATTTGCGATTGTTGTCACTTGGTGAAACTCCAGCTTTATTTTTGTGGTTTCAATAAACACTTGTGTTAATATCACAATATTTATTTTAAATTATTATTATACTAAATATATAAACCTAAATATAATTAGTATTATAATAATTTAAAATAAATATTGTGACTCTAGTACAATTTTTATTCAAATCACAAAAATAAATTTAACTTTAATCGTGATCTAGAAAAAAAACAGTATAATTTCACGCCAACCCTAAAAGCAAATAGTTTTCTCGTCATTAAATTGTATTACATACTTTTATATATTTGAAGTGAGGAAGTGTTGTGTTGCATTTAAACTATACGTAACAGTGACTATTATGTAACAGTGTAATTAATAATGACAAGTCTAATTGCTGCTGATTACCATTTCTTGACAGTGGCGGTTGACGCGTTAACCTCGCCGCATGAATAATTTGTATTCAACTCAATGAAAATACATAAATAATGAAACGACTTATTATGTTAAACAACTCTCTTGAGATCTCATGGATGATTTAATTATTACGATTTTATGTTTTCTATGGAAAAAAATATAAAAAAGTAAGAACCGATAAAGGATGCGAATAAATGCGATGTGTAGGGTGGCCTCCCGCTTGATGATATTATACTATAGTATTTACCTGGTAAGAGATGCAGGATGCAGCTGGATGCTGTGGACTTGTGAATAGATGTCATAACACCCTGTAATGTCTATTAACAAAGTTTATAGCATAGCGTCACAATTTTAAGAAATTAGATATCCCGTATTTTTTAATTTTACACAATTAGTATATTTTGTCGAAAAGTCGCCTATTTAATTAGCAGGGCGTAACTGCTGAAATGATGATGAAACAAAATTTTAGAATATGCTAACAATGACATACATGTGCTGTTAGCAAAACAATGTCGACTACGTTAATAACTAGACTGATGAAATTCAACTATAAAAATGTTAATTTTATGTTCTATATTTAGAAACAAAAATGTGAATAAACTCCTAAATATTTATAAGGGATATGAAAGGCTGCTCCAGTTTAGTTGCTGTCGTAGATTGTTAAATAAATCTACATCCATATTGTAACAATAGACTCAGCCCGGCGGCAAACTGTAAATCGTCGGCGCATTCAAAGTCCATCGGCGCTCGTCTTTGTAGGCGAACTGTAAACAGCGCAGTTTCTTTTGATCGGGCTCATTATTCTCTGAAGCAATATCGGCAGCACCTGGAAAATTTCACGTTATTTATATAGCGTATATAACTGTTTATGAAATGTGAAATTAGTGCCCGACCGAAACTTTGATTTCGGCCTAAAAAGACACATTCGGTGACGAAACCTTCGGCTTCGGCCAAAATGGAGTCTCAAGAGTTTGATATTTTGTTTGCAAATCATCAGATAGTATTCTATCATTTTTTATAGCTCTAATATTTTCATTAATGAATATATTAGAGCTATAAGCGCGCCGTCTTTTAAGTTATTATCAAATTTCAGTATAATATCCATTAAATACTATTAACCTAAAACGTAGTAGCTATCTAATAATTCATAAATAAATGACAACTCAATTGTTCCAAGTCTAAGGAATCAAGTTAAAAACAACTTATAAATAGGGTAATAAAATGTCGCGTACCAATGAATAGTTGTACGTTAGTGGCAACAGTTAATCGATTTTGTTGAAGACCATTACAAGCCAATCGAGTTTTGGCCGAAGTCGAAGTTCTCTAGGAAGCACCGTAATTGAAGTAACTTTTAAGAATTAGTGAAAGCGCGATAGACTATCTCTAGATCCACTTCTAGTGACGATTAAGATTACCTTTTTATATTGTGCAGTCAATATAAACCCTTAATTTATATATAATCTTGAACTGAACTTCTAACGTGTCCTTCAGCTTCGGCTGAAGGTTGTGGCGATAGCCGATTAATCGGCTTCGGCCAGAAATCGACCTTCGGTTGGACACTAATGAAAATACAGTCATTTTACCGCTTTCCTTTTGTAATCCAGTGATTATGAAACAACTGCACTAAGTTTCTTGCTGTTCTAAATCACAATACTGTTGCTACTTTAAATTCAAATGTAATCCTATTAATTTCTGTCCATTTGTGATTCATAAGGTATTATGGTATGATAATTTGCAATATTCTTTCTACAAGGAAAGATTCGTATTTGAACTATGTATTTATGCACTGTTGTGATTTTATTCCGAAATTTAAAATTAAATTGGCATTATCGGTAATTACGTAAACAGTTACTATCACAAAGCCGTGCAAGTAGCGACGTAAGATGATAATCTGCTAACTAGACATGTGTCATTTATTTCTAAAGCCGCGTATCCACCAAAAATGTTGACAACAGTTATGTTTCCAACTGTTTACAACTGTTTCCAAAAAGCGTCTCCACCATGAAGCTAATACAAAGGGGAGACGGCATAAGCAACTGTGCACTGTGATTCTAAGTAGGTCCTGACGTCATCATAGTGGGCGTGGCTTTAGTTAGTATACTGTCAGCATTCGTCCTGTGCGCTTATGTGTTGAAAAAATCGCAAATCGGTGTATTTTCGTAGTATTAAGAAGAAAAGGATGAAGTGTTGTGTTTTATTGTGTAAAAAACCACTCAGATAGACGCTCTGATGTTATGGATGGCATCACATTTCATTTGTAAATATTTTTACACCTAATTTATTAAAATAGTTCTAGAAAAACCTCTTTGCGTCGGCTTTCAAATATAATTAAATATATTCCAAACTAGATGGCGACACTTTGTGTCCTGTGAACTGAAAATATAAAGGTACGTAGAGCTCAGTAATGATAAAATAATCATACGAAGGTGCTGAAATTTCTTTGCATTCAGACATAAAGAAATTTTAATCGCCTAAATTTTAATTTAAACCGTCAAGGTAGCTAAGCTACATTGCAACATCGACATGGAAAGATTCGAGTAGATTTACTATTTATCGGTAGATGTAGATAGTGTAGTGGGCGGGGCATTGCATCCCCTCACCCCGCAAATTGTCACGCGTTGTTTCATAGTGAAATTTAATTACAACGTCTCCTCTTTGTATTTGCTTCATGGTCTCCACCGAGGGAACAAATGTTTGCAACAAGCGTATTACTTTGATGTTGCCGCCGAAAATGGAAACACATTGTTTCAAGTTTTGTTACCAACTGTTGTGTTGGCAACAAAACTTTGGTGGAGACGCGGCTTAATGGCCCGATCATTCAAGTATTAATTTGTCTTACGAACCGGGTCATTTGGGGTTGATCATTCAAATGAATCATTTTCGAATTTCAGTGATCTGTGAGACCCGCTCGATAATGTCGGTCATATATGTATAACACTCTTAAGTGAACCGTTTCTCAAACAAGTAAAACTAATAGGTCATTGTTTCAATTCCAGGTAACGGCACGATAGACTTCCCCGAGTTCCTCACGATGATGGCGCGCAAGATGAAGGACACGGATAGCGAGGAAGAGATCCGCGAAGCCTTCCGCGTCTTCGACAAGGACGGCAACGGATTTATATCCGCCGCGGAACTGCGCCATGTAATGACCAACCTTGGCGAGAAGCTCACAGACGAGGAGGTGGACGAAATGATCCGCGAGGCGGATATCGACGGCGACGGTCAGGTCAATTACGAGGGTGAGTACGTTTGTCTGTGTGTGCCTGTATGTTATGTGCATTCTCTGCACTATCTCCAATCTTCAGGTTAAGATTCGCTTCACTGATGCTACATTTTTCTTTTTTTGATATGTATATTATGTATAGTATGGTGAATGTATTATTTCGTGAATTATCTTTTGAATGGGTTCTATGACAAAAATATATTAGTCCTATAATTGTGTGAAATCCCATATCACAACATTTCATTGAAAAGGAAAAGGGCATTGTTGAGATCATAAGGCAAATATTCAGTGAAGTGAATTAGTTTTCCCATACCTTATAACACAAATTTATCAAAACTTGCTTCTATTTTATATTAATATTATACACAAGATTTGCTACTGAAATCTGCCGTATGCCCGTATGTTATATTGATTTTACAAGGTTTTTTTTGTTCTTTCCGAATCTAAATTTAAAAACTACTACAGAACAATGTAACATACGGCTTAAAACGCAAGCTTTTTAAACAGAACTCTACGATAAGAGATTATAAGGATGTTGTTACATGTTGGCGCCTGTCACGCTCCCTCGCATATTTTGAATGAAAGTTTCCATCTGTAAATGAATTATTTACTACCACCCTCCCGAAGGCCAGCAAACTTAATCACGCCTATAACTGATGTCAAATGATTTTAACAACATTTAAACATAGTGAGCTCAGTGAAGATACGGTACTTTATAACAAACAACTGCACTAGGATAACCTTTAACTATAGAGCGATTGTGAAACTGGTGGAAATCATGGTTGGCTTCATTTTGACGTTTGGTTACTTAGTATTGATTAATGTTACTTTGTAAATTTGCCTTGTTAATCTGATGCTTTTTTTAAATTATTTTCAATGTATCAGTTTTTTTATTTTATAAAAAGATTTTTTTATATTAATAAGTACCTTATTATAGGTTACAAAAACATAATAAAAATAATACAGTTACGGAATGATTTCCACTGGCAAAATATTCCAAGCAGAGTTACTCAATCGCATTTATGTTCTTATTTCTAGTAAAACGAAGAGCTACTTCGGTATTAATCTGTTAAATCTCATTCCTGTTTAGTGTTTGTTCAGCTATTGGACATTTCGCCGTTATTTAATTACGCGTGCACCAGTTTCCGTGTTTACCTTAGTTGATTTACGGATGCGCTAATTTCTCTGCATAAATAATACTCACGAACTGTTGAAAAACTTTGCTTTTAGAAGATTTGGCCTATTTTAAAAGTTGCCAACGCTCCTATCTGTAAACAATGTAAACTTGATCACCTATAATTATAAGACCAAGTGATTTATAGGGTTTTATTCATGATGTCCAGATAGTGTGAAAAATAGCCAATAGGCAATACGATAAAAAACTATTGAAATAATTAAATTGACTTAATATAGTCTGTTACTTATTGGGCTGAGTAAGAAAAAGATAGGTTTACGACCAGACAATGTGATAAAAAAAGAGGTTTAAATCAGTATTAATTACATAGCCAGATTTGTTTTTATTCATATTCATATTGTCTGGGCGATTAATCACTTGATCCATAACATATACATTAAAGATTAGTAAAACAAAGATACTCATGGTTAAAGCAATCTTGATCAATATTGTCAGGGCTGAGAATTGCAGTAGTGGGTTTAAGACATTGATAAGAATTTGCGCACCTCTATGTTTTTCTTTTTCACTGGTATTAAAACATTTAGCGACGTAACTATGTACATAGCAAATGGAAATGTCAATTAGTTGTAAAGAAGAAAAATAGGAATTAGTGAACGTGAAAAGTTACTTTCGAACCGGTCACTATCGAGATGTGCTAGTTGAGTAGAAAATCAACTTTTTCTTTTAGTTGTATAATCAAAGAAAATGTTGATTTCCTATTTATTTTATCACACATTTCCTGTTCAGTACTTCAAAGTTTAACTGTGAATATTTATTCCCAGTCTACAATTTCTACAGAAAGTAGATTAATACTGCATTACATCACACCTACAGCTGATATAAAGAAATCTATGCAGAAAGGTGATGGGGGAAATTCGTAGTTTTGCATGCGTATTTTCAATTGTCCCTGCCGAATATACGGGTATTGAGTATTGATCTTATGCATGCGTGTAATTATTGGGGAGGCGCCTATAATGTAGTGTCCCTTAAAATGTTCTGCAGAACTACTGATATAACAGTTCCATTTTTCTAACTAATGCATTTGTAACACGAGTGGGCGGGGTTGCCAGGCTGTTCGATTAAAAACTCTACAAAATTAAGAACATTTAGAGATTTGAATAGGGAGATATTATACCACGATTTCGAAGAACTAGGTGTTAATTAATTTTGCTGCTTTACTTCGCACAAAAAGGAACTTTTCGTGTTGAAATAAACACTCTAAGACTTGTGTAGAGTTGTCAGTAGATGTTACACATTCTGAACAAAAGCCAGACGGCTCCATGGCGCAATGGCTTATCAAGGAGTTGCGGCACTGAGGGCGCCGGGTTTTGAATCCGCACAAATATTTTTTCCGGGTCTGGATGTTTGTGAACTGCCTCTACAATACAGAAGAAAATCGTAGCGTGGAAATAACGTTTTAAAAAAGAAAAATAAGAAACGCCTGGTGACCCCGTCCGCAAACGACAGTCTCAACCGACAGGGCGTTTCTCTCTTGCAGACTTCCACGCCCTCGCGCAAATCATATTCGCGCGCGGCGACCGTTACCTTAACTAACCATAAGAAAAGGCTGCAATAGCGCTGTGATCTCGAAACCTTTCCCCTAGTAGTCTACGTCGAGTGCGGTCACACCACTAGGTACTGACAGTGTTTGAATGGTTTGCTGCTCGTTATTAACTGTTTCTGGACATGTTAGCTGCCCCCTCTGTCACCCTCTGCCCTCCACCCACCTCTTCTCACCACCTGTTTTGTCACCGCTCTCTACTCTTGTGCCTCTCGACCGTCTGCAACGTTTTTACTAGGTAGAGCCATGTTGCAGCTGTGTTATCTTTGTAGCACGAATGGGTCGCTTGAATGGGGAACGAGCACGCTCTCACAGAATACCAGCGTAAAATAGCAGCTCAATGCTGCTGTGTTTCGTAGCAAACCGAAGACCCTTTTTACTGGTAACAGAGCATTCTTAGTCCTCGGGGGTGGGGGTGCCAACGAATCTGCATTTTGATTCTTAATCGAGGATAGATGTAGATGTCTATTGGCCACAAAATTATCTTACCATCAGGTGGACTGTGTGCTCATATGTCACCCTTATTCTACCTTGCAACGCCATTCCTGTAGATTGGTGCATGTTTCTAATATCTGTTTAGAATTTTTTTATAGAAATACCACCTGGCGATTTCCCCGCTTGCTCTCACCGCCTTTATACTACACTGTACATAGCTTTGTGTTTCCACTAACGAGCAGCAAACTTCTTCGCAATGGGTCTCCGCGTCCGTCGATAACCGGAGGGTGGTATTTCGCATAAACCCTTATGTAGTGGCATGACGACGGTTTCCTATGGTCTCGTGTTGTTCGTATACCATCAAGTACATGCCTTGCGCGATTATCGCGAAGGCATTTGTTTGGTGTTCGATTCTAAGTTCATTTATACCATAATCTAGTGGTTCAATGTCTAACAGGTATCTGTTCAATAGTGCATCTCTATCTCTGTCGGTTACTACTGTTCTATGTCAAAGTTACTGCTCTCACGTTTCATTTAGATATGTTTGCGAGGGAGAAGCGCTTCTAACAACACATACTAATTCATTGTCCTCTGTTTGTTTCCAGAATTCGTCACCATGATGACGTCGAAGTGAGCCGCCGGCTAGTGTGTGTGTAAAAAGCAGAGAATTTAAATATACATTTTGTTTCATGACACACAATATTACCATCGTATTGGACCTGCATTTCTCTAGTGTTTGCGATAAATTAAATATTGTCATCGTTTCAGTTTAATGGTATAATTGTATCGTGTATCGCGCACGGGCGCGTGGGCGGTCTCGGTCGGTCTCCGGTCTCGGGCGCCGATGGCGACCGCCCCCGCGCATCCCTTATTTAGACTTAAAGTATTCCGTTAATGTAACTGTAAGCAAGTGGACGTGTGGCGTACAGCGAAGCGAACGAGTGCGTCGCGAGTGATGGTATATCTCGGGTTCGTGTCGGCTCATAATTTATATTTGTGTATATTTCCGTCGCTACGTCGGCGTGTATAATTATGTATGTGTGCGTGCGTGCGTGTCTGCGTCGCCCTACTCTTTGCGGTGCCTTCGCCCGCACTTTCCGATACATTTTAATGTAAATTTTTTTCAAGTATGAGATATTTATAAAGTACGTGATGATTAAAATCGAAAAATCCCAAAAAAAATAAATATCTAAGTTTGTCCGTAGCTAGCGCGCGTCGCGCGTCGCTCCCTGTACATTGATGATTATATGGATGTTTAAATTTAACTAACTCAGTAAACGAATAAATTAGATTTATTGGTACTGCATTGAATTGTATGTGTAAATGATAAATATTATATTTCTATTGTTGGTGTAACTAATTCTATCGAATGGAAGTCTCCGCTCTGTTATATATCTATTACTACCACATTTGATTCATTCTGTTATTAAATTTTACAAAAGACATACTGAAAATAAATGTTTCTTCATTTTTAGGTCAATAAGTATCAGTGTTTTATTTACATCTACCCTACCTCTAGCTCTTTAACATTATTGCATAAGAATGTTCATGTTATAAATGATTTCACAAGAGTATAATATGTATATAAATGTTAAACAAAAAATATTGTATATTTTTTTTCATAATCTAGTCTTTTTGGTGTCGCAAGGACTATGTTATTGACTTTTAAGTTAAAAAATAGCGTAGTCTTTACTCGCTCAGTACAGCTGAGCCTGCCAACTATCGTTCGTTTTGTGTTAATGTACATTTCTGATAAACTAAAATGATAACAAATAATTTTAACAAGTCATTTACTCCATGATAATTAACTAATTTTTATCTAAATAAAGTAGCTTTTGATGTAACTAACAATCCAATGTACTGTGTGTACCTGGTTCTTAAACTGATACATCAACAAATCGTGTCATGTCAAAATAATAACCGATAGTAAATTAAATCGACGTTTATATTGTATTATGTTTATGTTTGGTTTTACATAGAGTTTTTCCTCATTAAAATGTTATATTTAGCATAATCAGCACTAGTCACTATTTCATAAATGACCCAAAGTTGACAGATGAGTCATGAGATAATGTCACTAGTCATATAATTCATCAAGTCAAGTGTAATACCGTGGGTGCACAGGTAAACTGGAATTTCACCTGCCCCCACCTGCTCACACCTGGTGGGTGAAGCCGGTAGGTCCTTCTGGTCATTGCTAGAGCTGGTTATCGTTTACAAGACATTACCTGTATAACAAATGTTTCACTGCTGCACAAAGGCCTTTTATAAAAGGCTGTGAGGGGAAGGATGCACCGCGCTGCTCCAATGCGTACTGATGGGGGTACACATGTCCTCCAAAGTATACAGGGTATTTTTGGAACGCTCCCGAAAACTAAGACAGGCGACAACACCAAGTACACCTTTGATCATGGGTCACAAATAAATTCGATCCTGATGAAAAAAAAATCAACTTTTTACAACGTTTTATTAGCTTTATTCACGCGCCATCATGTTAGTACAGCTAAATGAAACGATAATTTCATAAAATATATCATGAAAATACTGAAACATAAAACCAGCAGTGGAATGACTGAATTTATATCACCTGACTGAAAGGTCAATGTACGCGCGAACGCAAATTCGCGCGGCCCGCAACTAGCGGGCCAAACCACAATATCTAATAATTTACAACACTTGTCTAAATACCTTACTTATCTACTTAACCTACTATTTTGCCACTGTGCTTGTCTCCACTTAGCCACTTTAATCCGAATTTACAGGTTAAATAACCCAAATAACTGGTTCGATTCCCCGCTAATGAAAAAATACTTAAATGAAATGTAACCAAAGTTGGAGTCATGAGTTTTTATTCATCGTGTATGTTTATTATTCTCATGTATTCAGTTATGTACCTATTCAGATTAGTCTAGTACTAAGTTATTTAAAAAAAAATAGGTATGAAACAGCTTACCGCTCTAAATCCTCCGTGGTCTTATGAGATGCGGCTCAAATTGTGCTCCATTCATTTCAAGGTAGATTTGGGTGCAGGCGGGGCATCATCGTGTGGTCTTCGACACAGTCCGTACGTAGTTTCTCGAAACCATCCACGATCCTTTGGCGCATTTCTTCAGCACTATCACATTCACGATTAAAAACCCTTTCTTTCACATACCCCACAAAAAGAAGTCTAACGGAGTCAGATCTGGTGAGCGAGGTGGCCAAGCGTGTGGTCCTAGTCTGCCGATCCAGCGATCATCAAATAACTCATTGAGGCGCTCACGGACGAACCTCATGAAATGTGGAGGGGCACCATCATGTTGGAACCATGTGCGGCGATATTCAGCCAACGATAGGTCGTTTAAAATGTCAACCAACTGTTCATTTATAAAGTTTAGGTATCGCTGTCCGTTCAGTCGCTCTGTCAGAAACACTGGTCCCAGTATGCGATCCTTAAATAAACCTGCCCATACGTTAACCGACCATCGGGTTTGGTGCCCGGTTTGTCGAACAGCGTGCGGGTTAACCTCTGAATACACGTGTGTATTTCTTCGGTTCCACAGGCCGTTTCTGGTAAATGTCGACTCATCCGTCCAGATAATGTGCTCAATGGAACCAGGCACACGTTGTTGCTGGTATAATAACCAACGGCAGAAAACTCGTCGGCGGTCGTGATCGCCGGGAACTAAAGCTTGCACTTTGTGCAATTTGTATGGGCGCATTGGTTACGCTTCAACACTTTGTGCACTGTACAGTATGACACACTTGTACGATCCCGACGTCTTAACAATTTATTTAGCGATACTTCGTGTACCTAGGTTCGGATACCTAACATGTTGACCACTATAAACGTACGCGTTAGGCATTATTAAAACAAAAAAGAATCCAAAAACGTAACAAAAACTTTAATATCAACACGTAATCACAAGTAAATTTATTAAACAAAACGATTGAACTGTCGCTCGCGCACGCGTGTACAAAATCAACACGGAACTGTTTCAAAAACTACAATTAATAACGAACCCCGACGAATAAACGGAAACCTACTGCGTCACAGCGTGACGACACGAGCCGGCCGGGTTACATTCTGCGAGGCGACATGAGCCGGCCGGGTTACATTCTGCCGTCATACGAAATAAAGAAGTACGCAACTAACAAAAACGTAAAATGGAAATAAAAAATAAATTTATGAATTTTTCTTTCAGACCCCGTGTCTAAAGTATATTAAAAGGTATCTATATGAAAATTGAAATATGTACGTAGAGACATGAAGATTTTAAGGACGAACTTATTTTTTGATAATTTGTTTATTTATTTAAATAAAACGAATTTTCCTTTTCATCTTAGATTAAAAAATACACCTGGCAACACAAAAACATCGAAGGAAAGACGCATATAACTATTTGCGTATTCCCAACCTAATAAATAAAAAAAAACTGCCATTCATTTAACATTTTTACATATTTTGGAAAGGTCATTTGAAGTTGAAAGGACGCTAATAGTAATTTACTACTTTTTTCTTAGTAAATATTAGAAAAGCATTGGTAGTCAGACACAAAAAATAACAACCCGCAACTCTTGAGTAATGATTTTAAAGGGGATATCATACAAGACTTACTACGATAATAATTAAAAATTTTGTACAACCGACTTTAATATAAATAATTAAGGATGACTCAAAAACTATTGATCTGACCTCGATCAAATTTATATGGGACCACATGTGAAACACCAGCTCTTAGTAATAAGATATAAGCTCTTAATAATAAGATATAGAATAAAAAGACAAGAATAATTGAAATTTAAGTAATCGATGCAAATATTGTTAAAGATGACGTAGCCACTGGTTAAATAAGTCTTTTCTATTATGTTGAAGTCTTTTCTAATAAAAAGATGTCATCTGTGATCAACAGTTACGTCTAAAATTCTTACGATAATTTCTAAAATATTGATATTTGTGAATATTAAAAAAATTTAGTAGATGCGCCTTCTTATCATGAGTCATGGTATATTTAACTCATTTATTCAAAAATTGTTAGATGCGCCCTTTTTTCTTCCGACCGCATACCATTGTTTCGTACCGAGCTAGATACAGGTCGACAGCGGAGGAAGTGTGGGTACAGTCGCGTTCTAAAGTACTACATGGTATTGGGCTATTGTTTTATAATATTATAGTAATTAATTGTTTAATTGTGGAATCATAATAGGTGTTTTACTATTTACTTAGAACTTTGGAAGAGGTGGGAATTAAAAATGGATAATGTTTACTTGAGCATTATTTGTTATTTCTATCGTAAAATATAAAGTAGTTTGTAACAAAAAAAACTTAAGTTAAGGGTGACACGCCGTCCATTATGACGTCTTGGGTCACATGAAAGTCAGATGTTGATGGTGTGTTGGTATTACTGGATGCTACTTCATCATCACTTTCATCTTCGCTTGAGCTTCCGTCATCAGGTCGATCACATGGTAATTTTTTCGGTATTCTCCCTCAACACTTTACTGCACAATTTTCCCCATTCACCTTCTCCTATCATATTTACCTTTTCGTTCACTAGTTTAGTCATAAAACAATAGATATAAATAATTTTTGTTTCCTTCCTTTTTAAAACATCGTCGCGAGTCGCAAAGTAAGCTGTGTATGCGACTGTATTTTTGGAGCGAACAAAGCGCGTGAACCAATAGCATGCAGGCACAGTAATACGGGCGGATTGATCCCCCGTCGCACCCCCCTCGTACCTATATGTGATAAATCGCTCAATGCCCAAGTTCAAGGCCAGCGTTCTTTTTTCACCGTTCGCGCGTACATTAACCTCCATTAGTCAGGTGATATCAATTCAGTTTCCACTGCTGGTTTTATGTTTCAGTATTTTCATGATTTTTTTTATGAAATTATCGATTCATTTAGCTGTACTAACATGATGGCGCGTGAATAAAGCTAATAAAACGTTGTAAAAATATGATTTTTTTTTCATCAGGATCAAATTTATTTGTGACCCATGATCAAAGGTATACTTGGTGCTGTCGCCTGTCTTAGTTTTCGGGAGCGTTCCAAAAATACCCTGTATTTTACCCAACTGCAGTGGAGCTCAAAAGGCTAATCTTTTTTGCTGGTATGTTGGTGCGGCTGTAACTTGTAATAACACAAGCTATATGAAGTCTGCAAACAAATATGGTGTACATGGACTTTCAAAAACTTGCGTCCAAAAAGTAATCAATTGTACCGTGTAGTGTTTTACGAAAGAAGCACTGCGGAAGATACGCGAACTAAAATGTGAATTCTCCGTTTAATGGCGGCGTAAGAGAATCTTATACTCCATGTCATCCCGTGGGTGTCGTAAGATGACAGGTGTAAATGTTAATGTTATAGGCAGCAGCACTTATTTGCATTGAGTTATATGTACTAGAGAAGCCTTTCTAAACAAAAAATGTGCATTACTCTGTGCCTCGCGCATGGTCGGGAGTTAGTAAAGTTGCGCATGCGCAGTTTTAAGAGAGT